AATTGAAAGCATGCTCGACGCGTATTCGAGAGGTCCAGGGTTCGAGTCCCGGCGGAGACACTGCATAGTTTTCAAGTCTGTTGCTTAAAAAAAAACTTAATGACTCTGCAAGTGGCGCCCGAACTAAAAGATGGTCGACAATAATTCGTCACCACCAAGTTTAGGCGATTCCATTAACCCCCAGTCACCTTTAAAAGGGGGAGTGTATAAGGTATTTTCCCCCTCCTTTCGCCTTCGTGTTGTAAGTTGTAATTGGAAGCATACTTGACGCGTAACTGAGAGGTTTAGAGTTTGAGTCCCGGCGAGGGCATTGCTCATTTTTCACGTCTTCTGCCTCAATAAATAAATAAATAAAAAATAAATAAATAAATAAACCTAAAGACTTTACATATATGTGATAATTTCTGCAAGAAAAGGGTACTAAATTTGTATTTGCATTTTACTTTCACTCTCTTCAGAATATTTTACGATATTGTTTCTTTATAATCACACATGAACTAATCAAAAAACTTCTAAATTAACATACGTTCAAACAGAAAAGAAAAGTGCCAAAACTCACCTCAATCTAATTATCTATGAAGCCTACATTTTAAAATAATTTGCTTGTTTTCCTGTTTCATGTAGATATTTATTTATTTAATATTCAGTTTACGTACAGAAATTTCCTTTATATCAGCTAAATATGCTAAATGCTAATCCAAAAATATCAGCTAAATATGCTAAATGCTAATACGCATAATTCACTCAATAAACATTTTTGCAATTCAAATTTTGAATCACAGAGGAAAATTTGAATTTCTGATCAAAGTTCGATTAAAGTTTTGCCCCTGGATCTTGCTTCGGAATGTAACAAAAGCGTTTCATGTTCATTGCCAGTCTCTTGGCATAAAATCATAAATATTCCTGACTTTAAAACTCTTTTAATAAAATTATCTATTTTCACAGCTTGAATTAAAACGATTTTCAAGTTTTGGGGGACTGTTTCGGCTATTAAAGCTTCACGATAAATGGAGCAGTGATTAAATTTAGTTTTAGGTGCGACTTCCTTTATTCGAAAAATAACACCGGAATGTTTTCCTGTTAAAGTCCAAGCTCCATCACCGCATACGGCAATGCAGCAATGCACTCATTCCAAGGTATATCATTCTCATGCATAAAATTGCCCGTTACGTTGAAAATTTCATTTGCAGTTACTTTATCATGAAAAGATTCGCAAAATAAGTACTCTTGAGCAATTCGTTTTTCTTCTTTGAAACGTATGTAAACTACTGATAATTGAAAAAAGTTCATTATGTCAGTACTTTCATCCAATTGCAATGCGAAATATTCACTTTGCTTTATTTTTTGAATAAGTGTCTCTTTTATGGAATTTTTCATTTCATGAATTTGTCGACTTACTGTTTCATTTGATAACAGAATATTATGAAGTTCATTAGCCGCTTTTTCGTTGAATAATGTTAAAACGGTATCTTTAGCTCCTGGTAATATAAGATTTTTCTCCAATAGTGTTAGCCTGCCCAGTATTTGTAATTCTTAGGCTTACTAGGTAACTAACTTCCAAAACTTTTTCACTTTAAGCAACAAAGCCTTTCGATACTTATTTACTATTTTTGAATTCCGATAATTACCTCTTAAAATATTCTTCAGTTTAATAATTTAAGTTGGCATGCTTAGATTTAAATTATCTTTTAAGTATAGTTCTTTATAGTTAGTTCACCGCAAAAAAACGCATTCAGTTTGAGGGTCCATTTCTTATCCATTCTAAGTAAACTCAAATGATAAATATCCTATAAACATTATATTTCCATTATATTTCCTATAAACAGTTTTTCTTTTCTTTTTAATGTTCTTAGTGTTGTAGAATGTCCGGAATCCATCACCTGTAAATCAGCAATTTTCCGCTTAGTCAAACCTAGCCATTTTCCATTTTGAAATATAGGGTTTGTTTTATTACTTTTTCACAAATATTTAAATGCACAATATATTATGAATTCTTCAAAACCAAACGATTCTCAAATCGTGTAGAAAAGTAAAGAATAGAAAGCAAAATACTTGCTGAAGAAGACAAAATACTTGCTGTTAGAGACAGCAAATCGACGTAAACAAATTATTCTAATCTAAAATAGGGCAATATGAGCCCGGAAATGTTCGCAGCATAAAGTGCAGACATGCTAATAAATCGATGAACTCTAAAAGAATTAATGAGATACTATTATCTTTTTATAGGAACTTAAATTTTATTTCCTATTAAATACAACATCCATTTCTATTACTCCTTTTAAAAGCATCAATTGTGGCAAATTTTGTTATCTCTATGGCTAAAAGAATATTTATGAAAATAAAAAAGGATTTGTAGGGTTTTTCTTAATTTGCATAACAAATTTATTTTAAGTTTTCCTGTTCTCAACTTCTCAAACTTCCCCTTACATTCTCTCGCCAGGATGTAAATTTAAAGTTAAGTGAAGTGCTATTTAAACGTGTGATTATTCTCAGTTTATTCAGAGCGTGTTTCGCTAGCTTAGCGCACGCTTCGTTGTTATTTCGCGGTCACGCTAGTAAGCCTCTTGGCCATATCTGTTTAGTATCACGCCGGTTAGATTTCTGTGAGTCCATCTCTTAGGAGTACTTTTGAAGTGCGTTCTTGCACTCGTTTATTTTTCAGATTTGATTTGTATATTGGTCTACGTTTAGTTATTGCCGCAAGTGAACGGTGTTTTGTAACGCTCGAAGTACGTGCTTTCTGTTAATTTAGTTTGAGTTAATAAAGGGTAATTTTGCATCCTTCTTCTGTGCTGGGATTTAATTCACGCCTGTGCGAGAGTTCGCCAAGTTCATTTTAGGATCTAAGTTAGTGCCATGTGGAAAAGTAGAGATAGATATTACAGATTATTTTTCTAAAGTCTGGGAGAGGTTATTGACCTTAAACAAGGATCGCATAAATTTACGAGTGTTAGAGAAAAAACTTAAATAGGATGCTAGGTATTTAATTTTTGAAATTAATAGTTAAAATATTTTGTTTCTTTTGCGTATTACTTACTTTTCTCTTGCGAACCACCAGTAGTACTTACCACCGGTTGAGAAAAGCTACTCTAGCTGATCCTTAATTCGGTTTTCTGGTATCTTAGTGAGTTTTCTCCCTTCTAAGAATAACATGAGTAAAAACCTTTTTTAGTTTTTCACAAAGTCATTCTCCACTCCCCCTTAGCAGTAGCCCACGGAAGGACCTTAGCAGTAGTCCTTCCATGCTTTGCTATAATTAATTAAACAATTCAAATGAATACGTTCATGGGAAATGAAAATATATCATAACGATTTCGCAATTTTATTCTATTTTACAAACTACTTTTCACTTACTTTTTAAAATATATCGTAAATTTCGCTTGTTTTGCAATCCCGACCTTGATTGTGTTAATAGCTAATTTTCGTTAACAGTTATTGATCTGAAAACTTCAGATGTGGTAGCTGATTGTCCAATTAGGTATTGCTATTACTGAAATTTGAAATATGTAGAATTAACATAGCGGAATTTATTAAAATTATCGTTAACCATTTCTTCTTCATTTCATATTTTAGGTTATCTGAATATGGAAAAATATATGAGGGTTATCTGTCTAAGGAGATAGATGACTTCATGAAGAACATTCTGAGGGAAATTGGCTCGTATTCCCATCATACATTGAGAAAACCACGAATTATCCCAGGCAGCCAGCTCGTCTGTCCGAGTTCAAACACGGGTCGAACTACAAGAATTCAGCGTAATGAGGACTTTGATATAGAAATGCAATCATTTTGTAATTTTACAACCAAGGACAGATACGTGGAGACTTCCGAGAGGAGCATGAGTTCTTTCCCCACTTTGCTGTTCTGTTTCGTTCAGTATGTCAAAAAGAAAAGATTACACTGTTCGTTTCCTTTGTTTAGTTTTCCAGTTAACATTCTAGGTTTTGAAGAGACCAAATATGCTGATTGCGTTTTCATGTGTTTTTTTTACACGCATATCCTAAAGTATAGATAGCTCCTCTTATATTCCACTGCGAAGTCACCCTCTCTCATAGGCAGATAACTTTGTGTGCGTTGCTATAAGTAATTAACATAAGCTAAAGGGACCTTGCAATTTTATATCCTTTATAATTTCATTTTATCTTTTAGTAATTATTAAAGAGCATTTTCAAAACTATAGTTAAAATGATTTATTGCCATCTATTTTTTTCTTTTTAGTTTTAATTCAAGAAATAAACATAAAATTTTTATATTTTTGGGTATTAAAACCTAAACGTAAATACAAATAACAGGAAATGAGCGAAACATTTAAGTTGGAAAGTGTAGCTAACGATAATAAACTGCTTGTATGTATAAAGCTGCAATTTAACTATTCTAGTTTCAATACGCAAGCATTGTCGCTAATCAATGAAATAATAAATTCAAATTACTTCACGCAATTTGAATTCACTCATTTCTATTTACTTGTAAGTAAACATGTTACTATGGTTTATCCTTGGAAGAGGAAAGCCATTTCCATTCTTCTTAATATATTATTTATACAATTGTATGCATAACCAAAAGTAATACTTTTACCTTTTCATGCACGTAGAAGTCAGGACAAAAGGATTAGTTTTATTCTATAAGAAGAAAACATGACAAGCGCATCAAATAACATTTAAAAAATAAGTGGATTTCTACTAAAAGAGTTTATGGGTAGGAATAACAACTTTTCCAATATTGATTTAACGTGCGTAAACTTCCTTTATGCCTTGGATCCTTTTCCTTTTGAGATGAATACCCTATACTCGGAACCACACCCCTGTTTTCCAAAGGTGAGGTGTTTTAGGGTCTACGACATACCCTTGACTCAGACTCCAAACCTTCTACAAATTAGGTAAATAGGGTGCTAAATAACACATTATAGATGAATAGATGGTGCATATAAATAGCATTGCGGCTTCGTTTTTAATTTCTTAAGTGATTTTGGAATTGCAGTTAGTCGTAGAAAGTTTCAAAAAGATCCAATCACGTCTTTCAGCGTAGCATTTTATCAAAATAGATACACGGATTATGTTTTTACAGGATCAAAGGAGTATTTACGTGCTTTCTGCTTGTTTTGGGATAATACTGTTTCAGCATTTTTGCGAATCCTCTCAACAATGGATATCTCAAAACAGTTATGAAAATATAACAACACCAAGAAGACCTAGATGTGAGTTTTGATGCAATGATTTTTTTGACTTTCATATAAAAATATGCGCATCCAGTACGGAGCTGCGCATCCCTTTAAATTACACCATTGTTTAGATTATTTTATATATTTTTCAAGCTTGATAAAAGTTGTTTCGTAGATTAAGTGCTTGATCTCCTGTTGTGTAATTTAAACTAGAAATTCATGAAGAAAACGTACACGCTTTGCCACAATAAGATAACTAATAAAAAATACTAAGCACATATTAAAGAGGAATTAATATTAAGCCATCACGACTTCCTACGAAGGGTCGTTAATAAAATAGTATTTACTATTTGATATGTTAAAAAAAAAAAAAGAAAGAAATTACTTACGCTGATTTAAATGTATTCTTTTGTGGGAACTTTAATTCTGAGGCTAAAATCGTAAATTTCAAGACAACATTATGATAAAAATAACTTCATATTGATGAATTTTCAATCTTCTCTTTAATTTTAGAATTCTTATATAGATGACAATTTTAGTAACTAATTATTTTAAGCTTTACGTGAAAATTTCTTGATTTCATGAAGTTATTTACTTACATTCGCGTAAAATTTTCTTTCCTTACTAAAGAATTATAGAACAAATCAGATAATATTAACAAGAATAGCTATGGCAGCAAATTATTACAGTTTTGAAATATTATTGGCAATATATTACTTATAATGATAATAATTTTTATCATACTTAATTTTGTTTTGTTTAATAAAAAATTATCTCTTTGTATTATATACGAGTGCTCTCGAGTGAGATTTGACGTCATTTGTGTCTCAAACTGAAGATAAGTAAACTTTTATTATCTTCAGTTTATATTAAGTTGCATAATTTAATTTTTAAGCTTAGAAAATTCAAAAACATTCTAGCGCAATTTTGGAAATTCTAGAAGAATTATATAGGGTAAGTCATTTTTATATTTCCATTGCTGCATTTAGTCAGGAATTTCAAGATAGAAGGAAACCAACTGCAAGAAGACGATGTTAACACTCAGAAATAGGAAAATTTAGTTTTCTACTACTAAAAGTTAACGGGCACTAATCACTCATAAGTGAGACTTGTAAGTATTTTCAACTAAGGTTCTTAAGTCTTCATCTGAATAACCAGCATATCTGAAATTTAGAAAAATACTATTGTTATAAATTCAGTAAATTTTGTCTGTATAATTTATTGTACTTTTAACTCATAAAGTTGATACGCATTAATGATACTAACTTTTCTTTGAAAATTATGCACAGGTTAAAGTACTTTATTCTGTTTAAATGCATCGTAACACAAGCAATAACACAAGCATCGTAACACAAGGAATATCAAGGAATATGTACATTCACTGAGCGGTTTAGCTTGATTGAGTAAACTAAAACGGGAATAAATTGTGTTTTCTTGAAAAGGAGTCATATATCTTCAGTTGAAGTTCGAATGATGCATAGGAAAATAAATTTCACGAGACTAAAAAAAAAATTAATTCATTTGAATTTGATAACGCAATCAGGTTTTTTTGCATAACTTTGAAAATAACTAGGGAAAAAATTCCTCAGGAAATAATTTGATTATTTTTACAGGAAATTTTACAGGAAATTTTTACAGTATCTTTCGTAGACATTTTCTCAAATATCTGCTATGCACGTGATTTACAGCTAGGATTCCTTATGCATTTTGAGGGTAATTAATATTTATCGTAAATTTTTCTTTCTATCCATATCATTTCATCAATATTCTTCTGTGATATATTCTTTCATTGCTTTATTATGTCATACTACTGTATTTATCGATTGCCTTAATTTTTGAAAAAAGGCAAAGTCACAATGAATTCTTACTGCATTACTGGCTTTTCCTTTTGCTCTATATTTCGCTTTACATACTGTTTTTCTTTCAACTGAGCTTACGTATTTTTTTTTTTTTTTTTTTTTTTTGAGGGGGACGGGGGATACCAAATACTTTCGCATTTCTTTCGGTTTATGAGAGCTTGTAATATTTTACAGCAGTAATGGCCCGCTTCTGCGCCTCAAAAGGCGCCATTCTGCGCCTTATTTAAATACGTAACGAACTCTTCGGCCTAACGGTATATTTTGCTTAGCTAACGGTATATATTACGAAGGAGTAGATCCAGGAATGATCAATGCTATTTATTTCAACATAGTATCAATAAAATTTTAAGGCTTGATTAATTTTATGGCTTTTAAGGTTAACAAGAGCAATCTAACCTTTCCGAGAAATAACATTAGTTAAATTGCATTTTCTGTTTGTTATTGATATTTTTGAAGAAGGGAGTGCTGAAGATGATTTTTAGTCAATTGATTTATTTCCGTGGATTTCAATGTTTTATGAAAACCTATGCCGCAGTGAAACATTTACAGGGTTTGCATGTAATTTTCCTGCTTTAGTCTCTCAAATCGGCATATTTTGGTTGATCTATTGATTTTAAATAGCGCATTTAAGAACGTACGTGATCAAGGAAAAATATGAAAATATACACGTATCAAGATGAAGGCGGTTAATATCGGTAATTTTTTCTAACCTTGCCGTTGGCTGTGGAAAAGGACTCAAGATTCGTTTGAGGTCCACGGATCTTCAGTTGGTTGCTGCGCATTACGTACGACGTACGACTTTATTTATTTTTTTTTTTTTAAGAAACAGATGGAATATGGAATATAAGTTTTTTTTTGCACAATTGATTTTGGTTAAAAGCATATTTTATTAAATATTTTTTGGTTTTATATGTTGTCTCGACAATTATCTCTTTCAAAGAAAGAAACTGTTTAAAAACTCTATTACTTTTATTAAATAATTGCGAGCCCTATCTTGACTATGAGACGAAGGTGTAAATAGGTATTTTATTCCAAAGCAGCCTACATGTTTGACTATTAATTCGTAAAAAAAATACTCATTAACGTACAGGGGAAAACATCATTTTACATCTATGAATTAAAACGAAAATATATTTTTCTTTAAAAGGTATATTGTTTTTTGAATATCTCATGTATCATATTTTTTAATAATCTCATGCTTAAAGATAATATAATGCTTGTGGTGGAGGTAGAGATCTTCTGCAAGCGGTGTTTTAATTAAGAATAGTACAATTACTCTGAAAACTATGAAAATAAAGTAAAGTAATTACTACAAAATTTTGTTGATTTTTAAGATGCCATGTTTAGAAATGCATGTCAAGATCTTCGGTGAATATTTATTAAGACTATTAGTTTGTACAAAAAATATAAGCTGTAACAGTATGTTTATTAAGGATTTCCATTTTTTGCATTTAAAAATATAAACGAACAAACTGCTCGCATCACATACACAATTTTATTCCTTTAAGGTTATGATATAATGCATTATCGACTGTTATACTTTCTATAACAATACTTTTATGATGAACTTTGTTCAAATTTTTTTCAGCTGACTGATAATGTACAAAAATATGAATTATGGAGATTTATGACTATTGAATGAATTTATAATTTCAGTGTCAGTCTTCCGATTTATAGCTCCTTTTTCTATGATGGACAGTTGCAAAACTACTTCCGGTTTTATAGGATCCTGTTTATCTGCTCAAGATTGCATCAAGTCAGGTGGCAGAGGCATGGAAACTTGCGCATGGGGCCTCGGAGTTTGTTGTGTTCGTAAGTTAAGACTATTATCTGTAAATACAAATGACATAGAATAATATTTATTTTTACTTAAAATGGAGCTTTAAATTAACTGCTCCATTTCCTTTCAGATGCTTTTTTATTTCCCCCTTTAAATATACTATTATAGGAATATTACATATTATATTACAGGAATATTTTGAAAAATATAATAACAAAGAAATGCAAATACTTACAAGAATTTTTATTTTAATCTAGCTCCAGAGCTTTATGATCAGAATCAATAGGATTGAACAGTATTACCATACCTTTATTGTTTATATTTTCTTCATAAAAGCAATGAGTACGAGTGACTGTGAAAAACATAGAAAAATTCATATAATAGTCACTGAAAAAAGTAATTTCATTGTTGATATTAGGGATTGTATAAAAGTAAATGTTAAAATCTTTGCTGTGTGGGCTTCAGGATGTATAATTTTAACTCTTTAATTAGATACTTTTAACAGGATAGCACTTATCACGTTAGATAAGAACAGTAAGAGAAGATGAAAAAGTCTAGGATAATACAAAAGAGGAAAATATCCAATGGATAACTATCATTACACACGGACGTAAAGCTACGAGTATTAAATATATAATCAATACGAATTGAAGTCATATAATAGCCACTGAAGGTCAATGAATTTTTTCCGCAATTTCTTTGTCATTGCATAAATTAAAAATAATAGAAATATTAAGTCATTCGAGAAAGGCTTCAAACTTGTGTAACAATTAAAAGAGTAGTAAATGCTAAATAAATTTAAATAGCATAAAGCTGAAGCACATAAGAAAAAATTTACATTCCTGGTAAAACATTCATTTGCCCTAATTACTACTATTGTATCACATTAATAATCTAGCCACATTTAAAAATTTTATTTTCTTGTTTAAATAAATACGATTAATATTCAAAAGCAAAATTTGCTATTATTAAGAACAGAATATTGTAATTTCTGCTACATGAATTAAGAAGGAAAAAATCTTGGAAAACTCAACAAACATTAGAATAAAAAGAAAACCGATAAATTTCTCTTATGCTTTTTATGAAATTGTTTAATTTTTTAAGATTTCGTCATCACATACAGACAGTTTTTCTGTGGATTGATTAGTAATGCTCTTAGAATGGAGTTAAAATAATGCTCTTTAAAATGTGAAGCATTTTCTTCCTCCTTACCGCATGCCTTCCATGGTGTAATTGGAAGCACGTCCGGTTGGCAATCAGAAGGTTCAGAGTTACAGTCTCAGCGAACGGTATAACTCATTTTTCATGGCTTCCTGCTCCAGTAAAATTCCAAATGACTCTTCAGTGGCGCTCGAACTACAAGGTGGTGGACCACGAGAATTCGTCATCATCAGATTCCCTTCTCCCCAGTCGCTCTTTAAGTGGAGGAGAAAGTAAAATATTTTCTCCCTCTTTACCGTGTGCCTTCAGGGTGTAATTGGAAGCACGTCTGGCTAGCAATCGGGAAATTCGTAGTTCGAATCCTGGCGAAGATATTTCTCATTTGTCATGTCTCATGCTTTCTCATGACTCTACGAATGTACTCAGAATTAGCAGTCCATCTCATTAATTATATTTCCAGAGGCATAGTATACGCATTTAATTGATGAAAATGCTAAAAAGAAGTTGTAAAGTGAAAAAATGTAATTTGAAATACCGATTCTTAAATGATTTGCTTCGGTTGTAGGTGAAATATGAAAAACAAAATCTTCAGTCGACATTGTTGCTATTTTTGATTCCAATGGTCGATATGAGTGCCTTTAATCAAAAGATTTACAGATCTAGTAATAAACACTTCTGGAGAATGTGAGAAGCGGTGAGCTTCAGAACGTTTTGAAGAATGTATCAGAAGCCAATGAAGTTTCCAAGAAAGTATTTTGCGCCTAATACTTTGGAAATGTTTGGCAGGATTCATCATTTCCCGAATATTTTGAACTTTCTCCTATACAATAGCATCTTTTTCCGTGTGAGGATGTTCAGATAAACATTTTTACGCATTTACTTTTGCATGAGTGTATAGTATCGTGAAATTTTATGCCAATCGTGGCCTCTCCTATAGAAAAGAGCAAAGGCTAGTGTTAATATCTTTCGAAATCTATCATTGTTATACTGTTATATTAAGCTGACCATACGATGATATTCCATGCAAGGTAACGAGTTATATAATCTGCTAGTTCATTTGAATAGTCACTTGTCTTCTGTCTAGAAATGAATAATCTACATATAATGGAGAGTTTACTTCAATCCCTTTGTCCTCAGTGCCTATTATCATGATGTAAGTTTAAGCGAGGTTTTAATTCATACTTCAGAACGCGTATAATGACCATTTCACCGCTGACCCATGGGAATATGAGTTTGGTTATCGGTTAAGAGATAGCTAAATTCCTTACAAATATTATAAATATCAAATTGGAGAGTTACATTTCTCCTGAGAAGATATACAGTTAAGCAATCTTATGAATAAATTATATTCCTTGTATCTTTTTTCTGCGGATCATTTTTCATAGTCTCACTGCTTTTAAACCTTTTTTAAATTTCTGATATTTCAGAACACTTGATTCGAAAGGCTCAAGCAATATTTGCAATTGATTGACCTATCTTACCGTTTAAAACATTTCCTCAGAATAAATGGATCTATTTTCCGATAATTAACTCCTGGATTGCATTGGTTATATGAAAGTTTTATTTGCAGATACCAACAAGATTTCGTATTTTTCACACAGATCTTTACAAAATAGAGTAAATAAGATAACTATTAAAGATTTCCATAGATTTATTTAATAATCGGAGCCTAAATATTTTTATGTTTAGACAGATGCACAGTTGAGGATTAACTTTTAAGAAATTAAAAAATAAAATGCTTCTATATCACTCTGAAATTTAAAACCTTATTCTCAGAAATCGTATTTTTGTTGCTACGTAATGCTTTTGTAACTCACAAATTATCTTGTACATTTCAAGCATATATAATACTTCCATTTAAATTACATGTAGCATAAGTAAACGTCAAAAATAAAGAATATTAATTAAACGTTTCGACAAATGTCAGATAACATTTGATCTACAAGATGTTTAAGTTATTACGCATCTGTAAATTAAATTGAAGGACACTATATAAATCTTTTTAAGACATACTTCTTGTTCATAAATACGTACTCCTGCTATTTTTAATATAGCACTCTGTTGTACCGAAGTTGTTGATTAATGAAATTCGTTTTTGAGCTATTCATTATTTCTGACTACAATTGTTATAGTTTATGAGAACAACTGAAAGCGTTTCCTAAATTACCTTTGAAAATACAATAAGCTGCAATAGTTGTACATTTACATTATTTCTATGATTCAATCAAGCATTAAGTTCACATAAGCGTTCCTAAGTTTCGGGTAACACTGGATAATGCTGAATAATGTATATCTGGTAGCAGAAAGTAAACTTTTCATATTTGATAATGTAAATTACCAAAACAAAACTTCCTATCCATTAAATTTTGTGCTACATAATATGAGAAATTTTAAGGAAAGTCGTAAACATTCATATGTACCAAATGTACATATCTGATTGAAGTTATTACTAAGAATATTTAAGCAAATTAGCTCATCGAAAGAGAAGAGATTTCACTTTAATTCAGAAAGAAAATTCATAGTTTCTGCATAACTTTAATACATTAGCACATGTTCATGGAGAATTTAAAAAAAGTAAAACTAAGACAAACAGTAATAAAACGATTTTTGGAAAATAATTTGATACCGAATGCGTAATTTTGATTACAAGAAAAGCTTTTTATTAACTACAGTAATGCTGTAAATGTTTATAAAAATTGTAAGTTAGATATATTGTTGCGTTTCTATGGGTTCATGGATTTGGAGCGACTGACGACAACACTTGATGAAGAATGAAAACACAATTTATTAGCCAGTATTACTCCGGACAGTTCCAAAAACATGTTTACAGTCGTCAAAAACTACGAGAAGCACGCTGAAACAATCAGCAACACAGCCTTCAGGCTATCAGGCTGTAACGGTGAAGACAGCTTCACGGCAAGGCACTAGAGTACAGCTCTCGAATCGGTTAGGTCGCTTTCGGATCTCAACGTTCTCTCGATTCTCTCCACGTTACAACTCACAATGCACTCGACGATGCACTCACGATGCACTCTCACAATGACCTTGTGATGCACTGCTACTCCTGACTGACTGACTGTTCCTGTATTGCCGGAATATCGCACAGAGTGCAGTGTGTCCGGCTCTATAAAATAATGCCGCAAGGGCGCATCACGTGGTAGAGTCCGGGCGTAGTATCCCCGAAGGGAGCTAGGCAGGTAGGAAAGAAAGGGGACCGATACATCGCTCGGTCAGAAATAATCCGATCATGGACAGCAAGGCGTGTGGAGTAGTGTCATAACATTTTGAAATCACAAGGGAAAAGAAACATGATGCAGAAAACAATTAATTTAGGTATACAAACAGAAATCTAAAACGCTAAGTAAACATATGTACGGCTATATACAAATATGCAATGATAAGATATCGCACTATGTTTTAAGTCGGAAAACTGGAACTGCTACTCCACGTACAGGCAGGGTTTATATAGCTTTCGGCCTGCCTTCGAGAACATTCAGGGCGAAACCTGTAAGAATTCATTCTAGAATGTTCTCCATAAATATATGGTATATCGCCAGCTTTGTCGCCAAATATGGCCACATTGGCGATTTCGCGCCAAATCTTGAAACCCTGCTTTCCTTTGCTATTTGCCGGGAAGTTAATTTACCGCGGCTGGGTATTTCGTAACAATATTATAAATCAAATATGTTTTATTTTGTATCAATTAAATGCATTATAAAAATAAATGAATACCGATTTAAATAATTAAGAAATGCGTGTATTGCATTAAACGGCCCAGTTTTTTTAAAGCAGTGCTGTTGTAATTTGAAGGACAAGTTAAACATCTTGAGTCACATCAAATAGCAACGTTCTAGGAACAGAATATTTCCTAGTTTATGAGGATGATGAAGTACAAATTTTATCTTTCGCCTAGTGGAATGCGTAGTAACGTAGTATAAAGTAACAGTTCAAAATTTTGGAAGCATTTTGCTAAAAACATAACATCAAAATATCATTTAAAGGATAGAGGAAAATAAAAACCGAATGTGGCTTACAGTTGAATCAAGTTTAGATGGAATCAAATTTTAACTTGCATTTTAAAATCGGAATCTCATTTAACAAGAACTTCGACGCAGCAAAAGCCAGAGCACTTTGTATTAAAAAGAAATTATTTGTTGTATTAAACGAATCTTATTGTCTCATTCTGAAGATCTCATTTATTTTAAATCTTCATGTTTCGCAGTCATTTTTAACAAATGCAATCTGCTATTAGGAAATGCAAATATATCTTTTCCATTACTTTACTTACCACACAGTATACGAACAGAAAGGTACAGCAACCATGACGAGAGAAAACAGAAGAAGGAAGTATTGAAATCATAGCAAGATATAGACAAAAAATGAAAAATATAAATGCGTATAAATGATCTGAATTTGTAGCATTCAAAACATACTTTAGCGTAGTGAGAAGTGATATAAAATATAGCATTCACTCTAGGTGCATTGAAGTAAAATATTCGTAAACGGACATCATCCTCTTTGACCCTTAACATTCAGTTAGATCCTTCTCGATCGATGACAACTCACGTACTACATTACAAGAATTAAATTCAAAAGAAAAATTTCTTCAGGTTCTAATGGCGTTTCTCTGTTTGTGCGTACATACCCACGGGGAACATTTGACACTTCAGGAAGTGCTGATGAGTAATGAATTCACTAGAGATGCACGCTATCACGCAAGCGAAGACCATGCAGTTTTATAAGAGCTGCTTTGAATCGTACATACAAAGCATTTACTATTATTTTATTAATGGAGGCATCGAGTCATGTGCAAAATAAGCAAGACAGGGAAGAGAATTCTTGTCGGGATTCAGGTTTCAAAATTGTGCAGATGATAAAGGAATAAATGATTTTCTGGGAAGTGCAAAATCTGGAACTATATATTCAATATAAATATGACGCTTGAATGTGCTAACATGGAATATTTGTACTGCGAGGAAATAAATTCTTTTTTTCAGAATCATTAGGATTTGGATTATATTCTTTAAACTATGGCAAAGAACTCTAGGATTACCGCCTAAGGGAAAGAATATCTTTGTAAAGGACTACCTAAGGAAAACTGGCTATCATATCGGAAATCGTTGAATATGGGAAAACCATAAAAGCTCCAGTGCAGCTAACCATTTCGGCGGGATTTAAACTCTGATCGAACTAACAGTATTTAGTAGTTTAGCTTCTCGGCCGCTGGTGGGTTTAGAATCATTAAAATATTATTGTAATGTTATGAATTTGTTGCTGAAATATTCATCTTCATAGATTATAGAACAAGTCGTGCGTTATATTGAAGAAAACTGCATGTAAATATGTAAGACAATTACGTTTATGCAATTCTTTCAGAGTTTCCATACAATTAATCATATTTCAAACAATTAATATAAATATGGCACATTGCTTAAAAACAGTAAAGCAATGAAATAAAGATAAGTAAAGTAAATATCTGTTTTAAATAATTACAGTAAATATCAACATTCAAGCTTGGTTCTAGTTTTGGCGATAAGTGACGGGTCACAAGATTTTATATTATAAAAAAAAAGGAGGACAGTTTTATATCTCCCGTTCTACTAAGCCGATTCACAAAATTCATATTGCGTTTTTCATGTCTCGGTGTGGTGTATTTAATTATGGCAAAGCACACTAGGGCTATCTGCCTAAGGGGAGGGATGCCTTTCGTGGAGGACTTTCTAAGGGAAACTGGCTCGTATACACGTTACACATGGGGAAAACCACGAAAACGCCCATGCAGCCAGCCCGTTCGCGGGATTCGAACCTCGGACCGAACTACCAGTGTTCAGCGACTTTACCGCTCGGCCGCTGGTGGGCCTTTTCATGTCTCGAAAGCGCGACTTAGGATATATATTAGATTTGTATATATCATTGTTCTAACATAGGTATTTTGACGCAAAAATCGGACTTTTTCTGAAATAATATCAAAAAATCAATTTTTTTCCATATTTTGATTCTACGACTCAAATTATGCCTAGATATTAAATTTTGTAAAATTTGGTGCAAAATTTACGTAGAAATTGAAAAATTTATCTTGGCGCAATTTTTTTCAGTTTGCGCCAAGAATAATTCACTTAGCGAACTTCTTAATATATGGCAACCAATTGCAAAACTTGGTAGTTTGGCGCAATTTGAGTCGTAGAATTGAAATATGGAAAATTGGTATGTTATTTCAGAAAAAGTCCAATTTTGTGTCAAACTACTTATATTAGAACAATGCTATATATATATATAATACACATTTTAAGTCACGCTTTGGAGACATGACAAACGCAAATTAAATGTCGTCAATCGGCCCAGTAGAACGGGGAATATAAAACTGTCTTTTTTTTTTTTTTTTTTTTTTCCCGCAGTGTACATGTAATAGAACATTAATTTTTTTGGACCCTAATTATCTGCAACTCAATTTAATATCAATAAGACAAAAAGATAAAACAAAATGGTATATATATTTTTTAAGGAACTGTTAAATTAATTTATACGAACAGTTTTAAATAATTTTCGTAAATGCCGTGTTAAAGAATTTAAATCAGATGAAAATGCTATAAGTTAAATAGTAATAATAATAATAAAAATAAAACTTCGAAACTTTATCTTTGACTTCACTTTATTTTCGCATAAACTTCACTTTATTTCATTTCGTATAACCGTTTTAAAAATCAAGGTAAATAAATGAAATTTTTATAGCTCGTAAATGAACCGAAATTCTAAAACAAGTGAAATCCAGATATCTGGACAAACTAGGAACTTATCGAAATATTTAGAAATAAAGATTATTTGTAATTTTTATACTGCGACATTATATAGGTTGATTTAACGACTACATATTTTTTTAGGCATATTTACTGCAATTATAGTAAATGTGCCCTTAAGGTATATTTATTGTGATGCAAGGGAAGAAATTTTAGTTTTTGGTTTACCTTATTTTTTAAACAATGATTATGAAGTTAAAAATCAAAATGTTTTAATTTCCGTGAAGCAAAGATCAAATATAATTTTCCCGACAAAGTTAAGTAATTAAGTGACATTTGTAAGTTTAAACACAAAATACATTCCCATTTGAACTAACATAAAATAATGAAATCGATTTCTAATTACTCAGGTTCTAAAAATAAATGTAAGATTCTGTTTTTTTATTTTTACTATAACAATAGAAAATAAATTTTTATCAGTGTAAAACAAAACGAATAAACCATTTCTATTCATTTAGAATTAAAAGAAAACATTTTCTTATTGCCTTAAAATAATAAAAAAGTGAAATAATTAAGTATATTATTCAGTTTTTTTTCACTAATACTTTACACTTAATTTATGACTTTAGTGGAAATGTAAAGTAAAATGCTGTAGCTATTTTGCTTACATTGAGGTTCAACCTACATGCGTTACACATTTAGCAAAGTTAAATTAATAATTTTTAAGTAAATACGTAGAATGCTTAAATAAATATTTATTACTATATTAGGAGTCATGGTCTTATATATTTATTTAAGAATTCTTATATTAAATAAATATTTTGAATTTCTCTAATAAATATGTACTACAGAGTATCATTCTTTTATTTTTCAAATTAAAAAAGAAATAGAAATCACAAAGAGTCAATTTTACTTAACCTAGAAATAATAGGTGATCTGTTTATTTGATAATCCGGATATCTGGAATCCAGATAAGTGGACTTCTGCTGCACTTTTTCAGCCACAGTTATGATAATTTTGTTCCTCGAAAGGTGGCTTGAACATATTTGATGACGGAATTTGGATTATCTCAGAGTGATTTTTCCGTTGTCAGGGTTATTTATTAATACGTAGACGATGTAAAAATAAGTAAATACACGAGCATACCAATAAATTAGTAAACTTAAGTTCTTTTGAAGATGGAGAAAAGTTTAAAAAAATTTATTGATAATATTGATATACCTGTTTTAAGAAGCTTAATAAAATTTATTTTAAGAGCGTTTATTTTTGCTTGTTCTACTGCAACAGCAGAATTATTCAATGAATCTTCTTAACAGCAAAACGCTTTTTATTCCTGAAACATTATTTTGAACAACAGAAGCATTATAATGTTTTGAAAATTCTACATTATGTTTCTGATTACATCTACCTTTAACTGAATGAACTAGAATGAAATTTACTATTTTTTCCCCTTCTGAGTTAAGTTTACTGTAAAATAACTGAAAGTTTCATCTATGTAATTCATTTTGTAGTTATTTTAAATTTTAAGACTTATTTATTTTATTTATCAATGTATTTCATTAAAATAAACGTAATTTATTTATTTTGTTTTTACAAATCTGTGCCTTTATAAGATGCAGCATCCTGTGGCGCTACAACAACTGCCAACATGTCTTATTTTATCAATCCTGGTTACCCTAGCACGTGGTCCAGTGCCAACGATGTTTGTACTTTCACGGTCAGACAACGATTATTTACAAAGACATGCCAGTTGAGAATCGACTTTGAAGATTTCTATATTATTGGACCTAGTTCTGGTTTGTGTTCAACTGATCGTTTCGAAGTTAGTGGTCAAGATCTTAACAGTATCATACCAGTCATCTGTGGTTACAATACAGGGCAACACAGTAAGTGAATATTTTTTATTCCGAATTTACAACTATGTAGAATTCAGTTGATACAGTAGTTTTCTTTCTTACGGATCGTGGTGTTCATTCTGTGCATTAATGATAGACCAGCTTCTTCAGATTCAAAATTCCAGTTTTCCGTAGCTAAAAATATTAAAGAATTGTGTCTGTTTTCTTGATATCTCTAATAACACGCAGCTTTAAAGCTTTCGCTTTTCCATTTTTCTGCTACAAAATGATCCAGAACATTTTCGATTGGCGAATCAAATTTCGTGAAAGACTTATATACGCCAAAGTTTTCTGCTTTGATTAATGATTTGAATTTTACTCTTAATTTAGCCTTAGCCGTCAAAGAATTTGATTTTTTGTTTGAATTTTTCATCAATAGATGATTTTATGTGCTTTGTTTAGAATCAGCATACCGTGACAAAACTATCTCATGTATCTTCTTCCCGAGCCTTTGGAGGCCCACCAGCGACTGAGCGGTAAAGTCGCTGAACACTGTTAGTTCGGTCCGAGGTTCGAATCCCGCGAGCGGGCCGGCTGCATGGGCGCTTTCGTAGATTTCCTCCTTGTGTAACGTGCCTACAAGAGAGTTTTCCTTAGAAAGTCCTCCACAAAGGCATCCCTTCCCTTAGGCAGATAGCCCTCCAGGCTTTGCCGTAGTTACACAAGCCAAAGAATCCTGACTTTTTGCTTTTTTGCGTAGTACTGAGTCTCCTTTCATTATTAGCTGCTGAAAAAGAAGGTACGGTTACACCTTCAAAACGCGTTCACTAGAGTACATACATAGTTTTACTTATATAACGCCGATTCATATCTCTAATTTCCACTTTTTTTCTAAGTTACCTTAAATTGATCTTTATATTCAGAAATCGATTTCCGCTGCTGAGAGAGGTTTACTTGCAAAACTGTTTTCTAGATTTTTACCGTGCGTAATAAAGAAACGAAAAAATTACTTGAAAGTCTTACGTGATGACGTTTTTACTTCCTTGTACGAAGTAAAAAAGAAGTATTGTAATCGCGAAACGTTTCAGGCAGCATATTTCAACGAAAATATCCATTTTGACCGCTATCGATTGCAATTTAAGGATGTTTTTGCGTGACATCTGTACGTAAGAACAGAATAAAAGACTCTTTTCTTTCAAAAAAATTATAAAACTGCTTTAAAATGAATTCTCAAATGAATTTTTCGTAGTGTCTGTACGTACCTACGTATGTATCTCGCATAACTCAAAAACGAGTAGCCTCAGAACGTTGAAATTTTGTATATAGGGACTGCTATAACATGCAGATGTGCATCTCGTATTTTGGTTTCAATCGGCCGCACCAAACGTATATAACGTATATAAATATATTTATATATACATCCACTCTATTACCCGGCTCAGTGATCTCAGTTTCTTTAACCTTATATGCTTGTAAATTGTGCATTTTTTGCTTTAAAAATTATTGAATTATGTTGTTCTTATCTTCCGGTTGAGGTTTTTATGCCATTAGGAAATCTGCAAGCAATATTTGTAGAATTATCAACAATTTAAAAGTGTTCAAGTGCGGTTAAGCCTGAATTTTTAAACTAAAGTGGCGGAATGTTGTTTACATTTGAAACAGCAGAATAGTAGGATTTGTTGTCAATCTAGAGAGACTTAAGCTTCGCAACAACAAAGATAACGCCTTCATTTATTATTGCGAATTAAAAATGCTTAATCCTTTCTGGAATTGTTTCGAGGAAATAAGAGTTTAAGATTTACTTCGTAATTTTAATATAGATATTTTGAGTTTTTATGTATTTTTGCATTGTTGCGAAGTGAGAACTGAATTAACTGAAAGAGAAATACTGAATCGTCTGTGAAAAACTGTTTCTTTTTTGTTTTGATTGCTTAATTTCTTTTATACATCGTTCTAGATTTTTTATAGTATTTGAATAGAACATGTGGCAACGATTAGATAATTCTTCAAATGATATAAATTTTGTGCATTCTGAGTTATAATATGAACGAAATATAACGCTTTTAAGTGAACCTAGAGCCAGAGTGTCGCTATGGTAAACAAATGTAATAAATTTTAAAGAGTACATTTATTCTATTGTGGTTTATGCGCTATCGACGAAGTAGATTTAATTCAATCCAATAAGTTTAATTGAGATGCAAGAAAAAATGCGTATAATTTAATGTTCCGTACAAGGAAGTCGTGTGGTGTTACACATCAGATTTTTTCCAAAGTGATAGCTTCCAGCTGTTTTGTAACAATAATATTTCTCCTTACCTTCCAAATATTTTCAGACTTTTTTACGTTTAGGGGCTAATTTTGGGAAGGATTCCTAAAAATCGTTATACAGATAAACATAAAAGGAACTGTACTTTTTTTTTTTTTTTTGAATTTGTATTGTGGTTTTAAACAATCCATTGCACAAAGAAATGAAATAAAGTTACCTTGAAATAATAACAAATATTAAGGGAGAAATAGTAAAAAATGTTACATGGGATACATAAAATATAACTATTATTTGGATCAATCATAAATATAAACTAAAGTTTACTGCACAAACACAGTTCGAACATTAAAAATAAATTTCAGAAAGGTAACTTTAACGCTTTTTTAAAAGGAAATTAATTTCAGTAATTGCATTTATTAATATTTTAACAGTAAATATAAAAAATACAGCTCTAAAGATATTTAATCACTAGCACAACTAACTGTAGCAAAGTTATTCTATATTTTGTAATTTAAAGAATTTCTTTTGTTCTGAAAATTGAAATTAAATCCTTTCTAGACGCCATTTGGGGTGGGATTACTGTAAAATGACTTTCTGTTGCTTAGTTCGGAAACCTTATTAAAGGAGAATGAATTTGAGAAAAGCTAATTTAATAAATTTAAAACAGCTGAAGTTCGGAGAATTGAAGCGAATCTCTTTTTTCTCTCTCTAAACATTTTCCGCGTTCCTTGGTATATGACAAAAAAGAAGAAATGTGCAAAAAATTTCTTTTTCTTTTCTTAAAAAAAAAAAAAAATAAATAAATAAATAAATAAAAATAATAATAAAAAAATAAATAGCATTGTTGAGTTTTATTGTAGGAAAATATTTCATTCCTGTTGACAAGCGCATAAATCTTTCTTGGTCTCATCTTTCACCATCTTTTTCAAAAGCAGTAGAGTTATCTTTTAAATTAATTGTTCAGGCGAGAGAGAAAAATATGAAAATAGAAGTTTATCGCTTTTAAAGCGAATGCTTAAGATAGTCCCTGTCGATGAATATCTTTAAAACTGTAAACACACCCTTTTCTTAAACTGAAATTGGAAGTATTTATAATTTATTCATAAAATCAGTTTTTAAACCGGAAAGAAAACTTATTTTAAAATTCAAGAGGGCTCTGAATAGGTTAAAAAAGAATAAACTTAATGCATTAAGAAGAAAAGATTAGGTTAGTATTTAGATGACAGTTTCTTTGGCTTAACATCAGTCCCAAACATTAGATGAAATTAGTACATAATTTAATTATTGTCATGTACTGAGTGCCCTTAGGATGGAAGTTTTTTCACTGACTCTTTTTTTTAAAGAAAAGTAGTATTCTAGTTGATTGTGAACTCAAACACAGAAAAAAATACAAACGACAAATAACAGCAAATAACTAAAACTGGGTAGAACTGGATACAGCAGTGGTCTTTAAGCTGCGTTCCTGAAAGCCCCAGGGTTCCGCAAGTCAAACGAGTGAAAATAAAATTTCGGAAGGAAAATTATAGAGCACTCATACTAGTTGACTAGTTTTTATTAGGTAAGAAATATAAAGATATATTTATTTATCTTTGAAAATTAATCAGAAGCTTCCTGTCTCGACTGCCGTCTTCCGCAACGCGGCGCCAACAGCGCGAGAGTAGCTCTTTTTTTCAATTGTTCCGTCAATGCGTATGCAGAAATGATTCTCACATAGCTGTAAACATTTTAATGGAATTCGGAAGAATGTATTTAAGTAAAAAATTGTAGAGTCATTAGGTTAGTTTTGAAGCAGAAAATGGGAAAATTGAGCAATGCCCTAGCCGGGACTCGAATCTGGACCTCTTGAATACGCGTCGAGTGTGCTAGCGTTGCACCAGGAAGGCATGCAGATAGAAGGGAGAAAATACCTTATATACTCCTCCTTTTATTAGTATTAGTAACTCCTCCTTTTATTAGATTGAGTATTAGGGGCCTAATCGCCAACCCCTGGTGAAGAAGAATCATCTACGACGTTTTTTAGTTCGGGCGCCACTGTAGAGTCATTAGGTTATTTTTTAAGCCGAAAATGTAAAAAATGAGCAATGCCCTCACCGGGACTCGAATCTGTACCTGAATACAATCCAAAGCTAGGTTATAAGGTATTTCTCCCGCCTTCATAGTGCATGCTGGGTCTTAGGTCTGCACGCTGGGCGCGTATTCCAGAGGTTCGGGGTTCGATTCCCGGCGAAGGCGTTGCTCATTTTTCATCTCTCCTACTTCCAAAAAAAATACCTAATGTCTCTACATGGTGACACCTAGAAAACGAATTAATCTATTAATGAGTGAATTACATTAATTTTATGCTAACATTTTTAAACAAAAGATAAATGCTTTTTTAATTGTCTCTACATAAAGTGTCCATAGCATATTTATCCACTTTAATATTGTTTTAAGATATACTTTTCTAAGGAAGAGTGGATTCGGGGTTTTTCGAAAAGACCTTACAATTCTAAGGGTTCTGTGAGTCGACAAAGTTTGAAGATCATTAGATATGAGATCAAACTAACCATACTGTATATAAATGTATGTATACATTTTCGTTGTTTGCAATGAACTGGAGCCGGCTTTATACTGGAGGCAGTGTCCAGATTAATCCTTGAAACGTCCTCAATTAATCTAGCAAGAGTTAATAAACATGACATGAGAGGAAGTTTGTTTACGAATCGAATTCTAGGTAACAAATTTCTGAATGCTATAAAATAATAGAAAAAGACAGTTAATTGAAACAGTATGTTCTGATACAACA